GTTAAACGTTGCAGGGGGAGACATTTAGGATTATGACACTCTGTTGCCTCCTCCTCCAACCCAGTTTCCTCCTCAGAGGTTAATTTGTCCATGTCTGATTTATCAGTATCCTTTTCTAGGCAGTTTTCTCTGGGATCTGTTATTAAAGGATAAGCATTCTTTCTAGATTCTGAGTGAGGTGACAGTGGAGGTGTTCCCTCATGGGGTTGGTTGGTTCCAGATCTGGTTTGTGCTTCAGCTCTTGACCATTTGCCTGTGCTTTTCTAAGTCCATTCCATATGGCAAATACCATAAGAGGCATGTCCATCCCTTCATTTTCTGTACACTATTTATCTTAATATCTATCCCTATTGTCTACATCTAGGGTCCCCCAGTCTGGAAGCCAGGGGCTGACTTTTTGTATGAACTTAGGAAATTCATTCAGCTGGCTCATACTAAATTTAATTCCTCTCTTCTTAAGCATGTGTTTAATAATTTCAATGAGCAATTGCTATTCTCTAGATTCTTTTTGACTCATTTTGAGGAAAAAATAGAAATAAAGGAAAAGCCAAAAGGAAGGTTGGAAAATCAGACTACTCACCTGTCTTTTCTGGCTCTCCATGTCCAGGGGATCTGCAGAATCCTGACTGAGGGCTATCTGAGGCTGCTGATTAGGGAGTCCTCTCTCTTGAACACTCCCAGAAGGTGCTAACATGGGACAACCTCCATGAGGACTACTTCTTTTGGATAGTCTTCTGATTATCTTTTTGATGATCACTGATTCCAGCACCATATAAAACAGCCCAAAAGACCAGCTTTCAAGGCTACTACAGGGTTGTAAAAAAATGCTACAGAGTAGCAGGACTTAGGAATAATTTTTTTTTTTTAATCTAAGGCAGTTAGAAACAGAATGAGACACACACGTGTATTGACGGTCACTCTCTATTTCTCCCTTTTTATGCTACTAAGAAATATTGCCCTTACTAGAACTTCTATGCTGGCAAAAGGAAACATGAACACTATTAAAATTACTCCAAATAATAAGTATGGAACTTGCCAAGAATTTGACACAATCTAGTAACTACACATTCTTAACTTTAGCTGGTACTCCATGTACTAACAGATGTTACCATAAATGCTCCATTATAGGTTATTCACTTTCCCACTAAGATTGCTACAGTAAAGAAGCTAAAACTGCTGGGTAGTGGTGGTACATGCCTTTAATCCCAGCTCTCAGGATGTAGAGGCAGGTGGATCTCTGATTTCAAGGCTAGCCTGGTATAGAAAGTGAGTTCTAGGACAGCCAGAGCTAGAAAGAGAAACTTTTATTTATTTATTTATTTGTTTGTTTATTTATTTATTTATTTATTTATAGAAACTCTATCTTGAAAAGCCAAAAAAAGGAAAAGAAGAAGTTAAAACTGAAGGCATAACTAATTAGAGGCTTGGCCAATACAAAACATGTAGCCTGAAATGCTCCATTCTTTTTGTACCCAATTCATAAGCCTGTTTTTATCTCTGACTACTGCTATTATTGTCCCACAGTCCAAAAAGGATAAATGGCTGCAAGTCTGGCCAAATGAACTTCCTCTGACTTTTAACACTTTGGCTTGCACATATCTTCTACAAAATAGTACATATGTGTCCTCATAATTAAGGGACTAAAAACATTTGGCTTTCCCCTGAGGTTCCCACATCAGAAAGAACATTATATAGTAACACTAAACCACCCAACTGACATCAGATGAAAGAAAAATATCCTCCTGGATTCATATGAATCAAAGCAAATGAGATAAGGACAATTGGAGGGCCAGCCCTACAAGTAACTTTAGATTTCTAGGCCTGTCTCAAGCCCCAGCAGCAGACAGCGATCTCCCAGTGTCGTGAATCAGGATCCATCTACTTTCCTCTCATAGTGTTCTTTGAAAAATCCTCCTAAAGATAAAGCTATTGCTTTATTATGATTATGATTATTATTATTATGATTATTATTATTATGATTATTATTATTATTATTATTTGCTTTTTTGAGACAGGGTTTCTCTGTGTTGCCATGGCTGTCCTGAACTTGCTCTGTAGACCAGGCTAACCTTGAACTCAGAGATCCACATGCCTCTGCCTCCTGAGTGCTAGGATTAATGGCATGTGCTGCCACCATGGACCAGAAAGATAAAACACTTTTCTTGTGCTTTTCTCTTTGTGGGTCTTTCACTGATTAGCCAGGCTGGCCTCACTTTTCAAATGCTGGGATTTCAGGTCTCTGTCACCACACTGAGCTTTGGTCTGCATTTCTTAAAACACAAGATATCTATTCATCAGGCAAACAAGCTAAACCACTTGTGACTTAATTATTTTATGAATAATTGCTTTAATGGGTTTTGGGGGAATGTGCTTAGATTTATTCTATCCTGATTACTTAGTTTTATTCTAATTAATCCTTTTCTCTGTTTGAAGATTTATTGCCATTTGGTTATTGGTCTGCTTTTCCTTTTCACAGCTGCCAACTCCTGTGTGACACTTGCAGGGAAATTTCAGATGGGGAAGTCACAGAGTCCAGGGACTCTCACCAAAATCTGGAACTCTGGCATGCGGATTTGTTTGTCTTGCTTTTTGAGGAAGTGTCTCTCTCTGTAGTTCTAGTTGTCCTGGAGCTCACTGTGTATTCAAACTCATGGTGATCTGCCTGCCCCTGTCTTCAGAGTACTGGGATCAAAGGCATGAACCACCATGCTTAGCTTATACTGTTTTTGTTGTTGTTTGGTTGGTTGTTTTGCTTTTCAAATGCTTTATTTACTTACATTATTTTCTTGTGCAAATGGGCAAAACTGCACTGTTCACAGAAACTTACACTGAATGGGAAGGCAATCTCCAATTAGAAGCCTGCAACATAGACCCACCTAGCACATGGAAATAACACAAGGCTCACCACAAACAGATCAGTAAAGGCATGCCATGAAAATACAAGGAAGAAGAAGGCAGTCAGAATCACTGTATGAATCTCATGGAAAATTGCAGAAGTCAAGGCATAAGGCAAAATTCATTATGATGAGCATGTTGATTAGAGAGCTCCTCCCTAAGAATATACAGTTTCTTGACTGTAGCTCCCTAAGTTTTCCCTTGATTCTTCTCATCTTTTCCATCACATCATCCATAGCCTCTCCATCTCCACTCATCTCATCATTAATCTGCCTGTTGGGTACAGCCTGTAGGAAGTTAAGAGCAAGTCAATGAGCCTATCCTCTTCTCTTGTTTCCTGTAGGCTGGTGGCCATCACCTCTTCCCAAAGGGTGGTCAGTCTTCTGTCTCTTCTGCAGCAGCTGCTCTATTTCTTCCTTTTCTTGGGCTTATCCGTTGCCATGTCCTCCTCTTCCCAATTCTCTCTGAGACATGTGCTGCCAGCAGACACGCTTGACTCACCCAGGCCTAATGCCAGCCTGCTTTGTAGATGGCAGCAGGGAGCTGGTGGCCAGATGCTGTGCAGCTCTGCAGCCTCGTGCTGGTTATTTTACATAAAGGAAGTTAGCAGCTGGTGTTGAACAGGACTTTACTCTTCTCTCCCCTAGCCTGCCTAATGTATCGAATCACCAAAGAAGAAAATAATTACCTCTGTTCCTCTCCCTTTGTTTAAGAGTCTGTTATGGCAAGAAGCCTGTCAGCATCCTGGACAGACTTTTGCCACATACCATCATCATCTACTTTAGTCCCATCCAATGCTCCAAAACAAAACAATTTTCAAATAATCTTTCTCTGGGCACAATTACATGTTCTCTGAGCACATTGACTTTCTCTAAAAATAATTTACTATTCCCCAACATTCTGCATTCTTTTCCTCTCACACACAAAAAAATTATAGAATTCAGGCCATTCCTCAAATGCTGGAAGCCCTGGTGCCTCAGCCTCTTGAATGGTGGAAATAAGTCTTTTGTCTTTAAGACCAACATAAACCAATAGCGTTTGAAGCTGGATAGAACCCATAAAATTACTTAGCTATTTTCATGAGGTGTATGATATCAAAAATACTTTTGTGCCTCTCAGATTTACTGTATAATCAGTATAAAATCAGTTTAAAAATATTGCTGTATAAAAATTACAGCAATATTTACTGTAGTGTGCTTGACAGTGAGTTAATCTGTTGACACCTTACTCTGAACCAAGGCTGTGAAAAACTAACCAGGGGTTACTACATTCTTCACCACTACTTACTTGCAGAATGTAAGGGCAATCTCACTTTTAAAAAGTCTTTTTTATAGTCAAAGTATGAAGGGACTGAAGAGATGGTTCTGTGGTTAAGAGTGCTTCCTGATATTGTAGATGACCCCAGGTCAGTATCTAGCACCCAGATCACAAACACCTGTAATTGCAGTTTTAGAGAATTTGACTTCCTCTTCTGACTTTCATGACATCCTCACAAACATGGCCTACATTCGCACATATTCACACGCACACGCCCATGAATAAATCTTTTTTTTTTTTTTAATGTCAGTGTCATGTAGGGTAAGCTGCCTTAAACTCATACCAAACCTCTTGCCCCAGCACAGTCTCCTAAGTGCTGGGATTACAGATGTCAGTCACCATGCACAGCTTTTAACACAGTAAATATAATGGGAATTAACCTACATAAAACTTTGAGGCACTTAATAATGTATAAGCACAAATAAGAGACCCTGAAACCAAAACATTCATAATCTCAACACACCTCCTGACAGGACTCAAAGAGCTCCAATTACAGGAGGAAGTGGTCTCCATAAGTCCCTGGTCTGAGGTTTTGCCTTCACAGTGTTTGAGGTAGGGAAGCCATACGTTTGGAATTCCCTCATGGCCCCAAATTCCTTTCTGTAGCTTTCAATCAATGTTAGCTGTCCCTTCTGTCCATCTGGACACATGTTCTCACTCCCACTGCAAGGACGACTTCTGGAGAAATACACTCACAGTCACTGTGGTCTCTCCCCACAAACCACAACGCTATTAATTACCCAGAGAGGAACAAAGTCTCAATCCCTCCAGTTTTCCAGACACCAAGGATGGGGGCTGCAGTGCAGCGTCCAGCTCTCCTGCTGCTCTCAATACTCCTGCCTCTGATGAAGACCAAGACCCATAGTGGCGCTGGTGAGTGTGGGTCAGGAAGGGAAGGGTCTCTGTCAGCAGAGCTAGGGTACCCGGCCAGGGCAGAATCCCAAAAGCCCTTTCTCATCACCCACCCAGATCCTCCCAGCCCTCTCCACCTGCATTCTGATTCCTGAGCCTTGATCCCCTCCAGGCCAGCACACCTGCCCATGGTCCTGTGAGTGTCGCTGTGTACCTCCCCCAGGGTCACACTCGCTGCGGTATTTCGTAACCACGACTGCATCTCGAACTGGTCCTCAAGGTCTCAAAGTCTTCGCTGTTGGCTACGTGGATGACACTCAAATCCTGCGCTTCGAAAGTGACATGGCTACTAAGATGGAACCGCTCGTGCCATGGGCGAGGCTGATGGGCAGGGATTATTTGGAGTGGGAGAGAGTAGGTATGGAGAGATATTCACACAAGGCCCGAGAAAATGTGAGATTTGCACTCCAGATCTATAACCAGAGCAATGACGGTGAGTGACCCCTACATGTCCCCATGGGTTGGCCCAAGTCGCCTCAGGCCCTAGATTCTAGGTTCGGTCCCAGGCTGTGGGGCCCGCAGAGACCCTGGACCCGAGAAAGCATCGGACTAAGACCGGGTTTCTAGCTCAGTTTAGGTGGAAATTCTGTGGGTGGGCTGGGCCCTGAGACCGGGCTGACTTTGGGGGCGGCGGTAGGCTCTCATACGTTCCAGTGTTTCATTGGTTGCGACGTGGGTCCAGACCGACGCTTCCTCCGTGGGCACTATAGACATGCCTTTGATGGCCATGATTACATCAGCCTGAACGAGGACCTGAGAACTTGGACTGCCGCAGACAAGACGGCTCAGATCACTCAGCGGCAGTGGGAGGAAAAAAATGTAGCACAGGATTGGAGGCTCATCTTGGAGGGCCAGTGCGTTGCTTGGCTACTCAGACACCTGGAGCTAGGGAAGGAGACTCTGCAGCGCTCAGGTAAGAGGGTCTGAGAAACAATTCCTCCTTCTGCACTCGGAGTAGGGCGCATGCCTCCAAGGAGGCAGGAAATGAAACTAGCTGAAATACTGTAGCTCTTCTTGTATCCGGAGGGGAAGAAGTGCTCCTGGTTTTTCTGACCCAACATCAGAGAGTGACTCTCCTGGGACTCACACCTCTCTTAAGACAGTTTAGGGTCTCTTGGGATAATAGGAAAGATGTAACATGAATCTTAAACGGTCTTATTAAGTAAAAAACAAAAAACAAAAAACAAAAAACAAAAAAACCTGGTGCCACCTATTGGGGTAAATTCTGAAAGATCAGAGAGACAGAACAAGCCACAGCCAACCTCCCCTCACTACTCCTCAGCTGATTCCTTTTCCTCAGACTGGAAGCCTCTGAATCCTCACCGGAATGGATCTCAGCTGAACTGCTGCTTGAAAGCCTAAAAGCTAAAAGCCTCTAGTTCCTAGTCCACATGCCTTATATGCCTTTGTGCTTCCTGCCATCACATCCTGGGATTAAAGGCTTGTCTTTCCCAAGCAAGACATGAGATCTCAAGTGCTGGACTAAAGTTGTGTGCACCACACCTGGCTCTGTTCCTAGTGTGGCCTTGAACTCACAGAGATCCATCTGGTGATAGGATTAAAGGTGTGTGTGCCATCATTTTCTGGCCTCTATGTCTAATCTTGTGGCTGTTCTGATCTCTGATCCCAGATAAGTTTTATTAGGGTACACAATATATCGGGGACACAATATATCACCACAGAAAGAAGATCCCTGAAATAACCAACAGAAACCCTGTTCAGTCTGCAGCCCATTGTGAACCATGGCTTCTCAGAGGCTGAGTTTTCTGCCCACACCCAATGTCTTTGGAGGTCTGACTTAAGTGATGATGAATCTCTCATCCCTCCACCCAAGTCAAGACCAGAAATCCTCTTTTCATGGTGGGAGACTTGGGAGTATTCCTTTTCCAAGGAATATATTATACTAAGTGCCTGAGTGCACACAACATTTGTGGAATTTTCACCCCCACCCCCCCATCTCCTGCCCACATCTTGATTCTCTTGTGTGTTGCAGGATACGCACATGAATATAGCTTAAGTCCCCAGAAAAATTATAAAATGCTTGAATTTTCCAACTCTTCTCCTTAGACCCTCCAAAGGCACATATAACTCATCACCCCAGACCTGAAGGTGATGTCACCTTGAGATGCTGGGCCATCAGGTTCTATCCATCTGAGATAATCCTGACCTGGAAGAGGGATGGGGAAGACCAGACCCAGGACATGGAGCTGGTGAACACCAGGCCTGCAGGTGATGGAACCTTCCAGAAGTGGGCAGCTGTGGTGGTGCCTTCTGGAGAGGAGCAGAGATATACATGCCATGTGCAACATGAAGGGCTGCCTGAGCCCCTCACCCTGAGATGGGGTAAGGAGGGGTGAGAGCACAGAGCCTATTATCAGGAAGACAGGTGACCTTCTGGAGACCCTGAGTGGGATCAGTGCTGAGCTGGAGGTTAGGGCCCCTTAACTCTACTCTGTCTTCCCAGAGCCACCACCTCCTTGGCCCACAATTGGAATGACTGTTGGTGTGGTTCTCCTTGGAGTTGTGGTCACTGGAGCTGTAGCTGCCCTTGTGATGATGAGGAAGAAAAGTTCAGGTAGGGAAGGGATTGGTGTCTGAGGGTTTTCCATAGAGTTGAAGCCCTAGATGGAAATGTGCTCATGTCCTGTTTTGTTGCTATGAGACACACCTATGTGTGAGTGCTCACCTAACCTGGAACGCAGTGGACTAGCAGGGTTTTTGTTTTGTTTTGCTTTTTTTTTTTTTTTTTTAAGATAAGGTATCTTTACATAGCCCTGGTTGTCCTGGAACCCACTATGCAGACCAGGCTAGAATCAAGATCACCTGTCTCTGCCTCCCAAGTGCTATCATATACAGCAGTGCTAATACTTTTTAAAGTATGGGCTATGGAGGTACTCTAGAGCATCATTACCCTGGATCTCTGTCAGTCTTTTTATTTCCTCTGATTTAGTTACTCAGGTAACTTTTCCAGGAATCTACATTCATCATTGTATTTCTACCTTTTACTATCTTGTCCCAGCTCTTGAACTCTCCTTACACATTAAGGGAACACCTAGTAAGTGTACAGAAAGGAGACAGAGAGCAAGTCTCTCTGTCACTTTCCTAACATTCCTGCAGCTGGGCACCACATGGTAGTCCTCGGCTCCACCAGCTGAGTGACCACATGCTGCACCTTGACTCAGCACATGGTGATAAGGAAAAGCTGGAACTTCATAAGTGAATTTGGCTGGGGTGACATTGGCACATCCAGTTCCCATGAGCAGCAGGAAATCTGTCCCATAGAGACCAGATCCTGGGTGTCAGTGATTCCTGTGCTCAGTGGATTCTTGTAGATGTGATGTTGATGTTCTTGTCAGTTCTGTTCCTAACTATGAAGCCTCAGATTTGGTTCATGGCTTTTTCAAAAAAAAAAAAAATCACCAACCCTCCAATATCTTTATTAAATTCCTTTGTTTTTAAATGATAAGAATTTTTATTCCATTATTTATACTTAAAAATAAGAAATCAGCCTAGGGAATTTTCAGATAGCAGCCAGTCTATTCTATGTAATTGCTTCCTGTTTTTCTATATGAAGCTACACCTCATGGGAGAGAAAACAATACAAATCGGTCAACATGACAACTCAGGACTGATAATGTATATTCTCCCTTCTCTTTCTCAACCCCTCCCCAAAATGGAATGCCTATATAACACCCCTTTCCATTATGGAGGCTGTTCTTACCACTAACATCAGTGGCCATAAATCCTGTTCCAAAATTCTCAGGACTCTTTCCAGATCCCTCATTTAGATTGCTCAGTATGTAGCCCAGGACTCACACTTCCTTTTTCTGTTTCTCTGTTAACAGCATCTCACACTGGATCCCAGGCTGGTATTGGTGAAATTATTTTGGCTACTCCATGTAGTTAAAAGGATATTTATTTAATGGCATAACTCACAAATTAAGTGATAGGTAGGTTGCAGGGTCTGGGAAAGGTGTATTGCAGTCCAGTGGTGTTCTCTGGACCTCTGCTCGGTCCACCTCCAACATTCAGGGTCCTGGAACAGAGAGAGCGCTGGCCCATCCAGCTTTCAGGTCTCCAGGCACCTCCCCTGGCCTGGCCTCATAGGCGTGACAGTTGCCAGAGTCTCAATGGGGGTTGGAACTTCCAGATCCAAGCTGGAATGGCTACCCACTACAGGCTGGCTTGGGAATCACTATGTAGCTGTGATGGTTAATCTTCATTGTTAACTTGACTGGATTTAGAGTCTCCTGGGAGATTCAGTTCTGGTCACATCTGTAAGAGTGTTTCCAGAGATTAATTAAGGATGGAAAACCAACCCTGGGGCCCAAGGATAAAATGAAGAACAGGAGAAAGCCAGATGAGAGGATGCCTCCATGCTCCTTCCTGATCTACTGAAGTTGGAGGAATCCCAACCACATGCCCCTGCTGCCATTTATTCCATCACACCTTATGCTGAGATTGACTGAACCTTCTGAAATCATGAATCAGAATAAATCTTTCTTCCTTTAAGTTGCTTCTGCTGGATATTTTGTCACACAATTTTAAAAAATTTAATAATAAAAATCCGTATGGCAATGAAATACCTACAATCCTCTTTCCCTATCCTGGAGTGTTAGAATTACATATATGAACCACCATACCTGGCAGCAGGAATTATTTATGTAACGTGCCACAAGTGAGGCTGATGGAGCTAGGAGGCCCAGGAGCTCCTTGTTACATTCCTTGCAGCTCCATGATCTGAATAACAGCTGCCTCTGCACCACTTGTTATAAATACAGAGATTCTTGTGTCTTCACAGATTTCCCAAGCCTTTTGTTTTGTTTCTGTTTGTGAGGTTTGGTTCCCTTTGTTTGTTTGTTGAAACAGTCTCACTATGTAGCCTTGACTTGCCTGGAGCTAGCTGTACATGTAGACCATGCTGGCCTTGAACTCAGAGAACCTATGAGAGGAGGCATCTGTCTCTGCCCAGAGTGCTGGGATTAAAAGCCTGTGTCATCAAGTCTGACTTTTTCTGAATCTTGCTGAGATGTCCAGAGGATTCCTGTGCACAAGAAAGTCTGGGACTCCCTGGTCTACCAGCCTTCTAGACACATGCCCAGAGCTGCACAGTCTGTGTTCAAGGTGTGTTCTCTAAAGAGATCACTGAGCACTGGAGGGGCCAGGATCAGTCCTGTTCTCTTTCTCGTCTACAATTGATAATCCTTTTGATGATTTTATTCACTTCCAAGTTTTTAAATGCCACTTAAGACCACCTCCCAAAAGTTGGGTGGTGAGGGCTCACACCTTTAATCCCAGCACTCCGGAGGTAGAGCCAGGCAGATCTCTGTAAGTTCGAAGCTAGCCTGGTCTACAGAGAGCCAGCATAGATACCAAAACTACACAGAGAAACCCTGTCTCAAAAAAACAAAACAAAACAAAACAAAAGACCACCTTCTAAATAAATTTCTCCAGCCCAGACAAGTCTAATCTGCAGGTTTATCTGTCCTCTGCTAATCTGGTTGCCTTATGTGTGTTTCCTCATCTGCAAACAGCAAATCTATTCTGCTACTTGTATAGTCGTAATTTTTTGGTAGCATCTTTACTTTATTTTGTAGTCCAGATTAATCCAGTAGGAAATATTGTGATGTCCATGTTTTAAATGAATTTAAAATTCAATTTCTTTGCTCTGTTTTCTCTGCTCACGCCTTAAGGAAAAGCAGCCTGTGCCCCTTCCCTAAACTACTAAATGAATTTCCAATTGTTTCCTCCATTGTCTTGCTTAATTCCCACAAATTCATTCAGCTCTAAACCAGAATGATCCTTTGTTTGTTTGTTTGTTTATTTTTGAAACACAGTCTATGGAGCTGAACTTGTAGTCTCCTTCCCAGTTTCTGGGTTTCCAGGTGTGCATCACAACACCTGGCTCTTGGTTTTGTTGTCTTTGAATTATTTATATATTGTAGACATTAATCCTCTTTTGGATTATAACTGTTAAAGATTTCCCCCCATTTCTTAGATTATCTTTTCACTCTCTGATTGTTTCTTTGCTGGGTAGAAGCTTTTTAATTTCATGCAATACAATTTGTCAACTCTTGCTATTATTTCTTGAGCTTTTAATCCTTTCTCAAAAGACCTGGTCTATGCATATATCAAAAGGGTTTCTCTCTAGCAGAATTTAGAGTTTCATATTACATTTAAAGTCTTTGAGATTATTTTCTACAGGGTGAGAGATGAGGATGTAGTTTTCTTCCTCTACATGGGAATATCAAGTTTTCCCAATAACATTTGTTGAATAGGTTTGTCTTTTTCCTCCAATGCATGTATTAGGCATTGTGATTGAATAAAATAACTGTATGTAAGGGTTTTTTCAGTTATCAGAGGGTCAGGGAATGCCATAGTAATCACACTGTGTAACAGATCTCACACAAGGGATTTACTTGGAGGGGTTCAAAAGCCTGCCTCAGCATGAGGATGGAAGAGAGGGAAGTAGGTGGGGAGGAAGAGAGGAAGGGGGAGACAGGGATAGGGGAGGGAGGGAGAGAGAGGGGTGATGACTTGGACTTTATAGGGGGTATGGGGCATGAGCATTTGGGACCATGGCACGGTGGAAATGTGTCCCATTGTGATGACAGTGATGCTTGTGCTGAGCGTTTGAAGGCTGGGTGGGGGATGAGGGAGCACCTGGTTCTGGAATGTGGATGGTTCTTACAGTGTAGCTATAGATTACATGAGTCCTCTATTCTATTCCATTGATCTGTGTATGTCTGAGCCTGTTCCACGCCTGTTACTTCTTCTTTTTTAAAGCCATGTCTCTGTAATAGATTTTAAGATCAGGATTTTAACACTTCTAGTATTGTTCTTCCGGCTAAGAACTACTTTGACTTTTAGGAGTATTTCCTGCATCCATATAAATTTAGAATGTTTTTTAGTTCTTTAAAGAATGTCTTTGGGAATTGTACTGAATTT